TCTCATAACAACAGACATAACTTTTAAAACAAAGAAGCAGCCGAAACCGGCTTGGCTCAATGGATAGAGCGTCGGCTTGGGGACTGAAAGGTCCCGGGTTCGATTCTGGTCAAGGGCATGTACCTTGGTTGCGGGCATATCCCCAGTAGGGGGTGTGCAAGAGGCAGCTGATCGATGACTCTCTCTCATCGATGTTTCTAACTCTCTATCTCTCTTCCTCTCTGTACAAAATCAATAAAATATATAAAAAACAAACAAACAAACAAACAAACAAACAGGAGAATCCAAGATGGCTGTCCAGGTAAACACCTAGCCGCAGCCGCACACAACAATTTCAATAAAATACAACTAAAATATAAAATGGACATTACCCAGAACTACAGGAAAGTCGACTGACTGGAAATTCAACAACAAGAAGCAAGGAGAAAACCAGAAGTAAGAGCGGAGGAGCTGTAAAAGCCTGAGGTACGGAGACACGTGGCGCGCGCAGAGAGGACGGAGGCTGAGTGCCTGGCTGGCGTTCCCTAGCGGGAAGGAGACAGAGGATCCGGACTGTGCTGGGCCCCAGGTCCGGCTGCTATGAACCTCAGTTCTAGGCCAGACCCCGGGGACCCAGGCTCATCCATAGGGAGCTGGGCTGTAAGGCAGAACCCCGGGGGAGCGGCGAAAAGAGGTCCCAGCGGCGCGCACATTGCACACAGAGAAGGGACGGTTGGCTGTGCCACGGAATTGCTCTGGCAGGAAGGAGACTGGGGCTCCGGACTGCTCTGAACGCCATCTCCATCTCCACTTCCAACTGAACTGAACCCCAATACTGGGCTCATTGGGGGAAAGCCTAGACTAGGGGTGTCGAACTCAATCAGAGAAAGGGCCAAAATCTAAAATCCAGCCTAAATCGCAGGCCGAATGGTTTACTGAACAGTCATAAACTGTCATTGTGATGGAAATGCAGCGGAGTGCAGTGATGACAGCGCGGTGCGGGCCACATTGCAAGGCCTGGCGGGACGGATTTGGCCCGCGGGCCTTGTGTTTGACACATGTGGCCTAGACTGTTTGGTAGCAGGCGAAAATCGAGGGCACCTTTCTCTCAGAGGTGCTTGCAGCAAGTTCTGAAGGACCCTGAGACCCAGGAGCCGCATAGGGCGGGGCTGACGGAAGCCAAGGCTGTAGGCTCCACCCTGAAACCCCACCCCATCAGGGAAGCTGCGAAAATGCCGAGACAACAAAATAGATCACAAACGAAAGAAATGGAGGACAAAAGCGACTGGATATAGAGTTGAAAACCACACTTATAAGGTTGTTCAAGAATCTCCTAGAAAAGGCCGATAAAAATAAACGAGACCTATGAGGATATGAAAAGGGATCAACAAGAAATAATAAGGGATCAACAAGAAACAAAGAATACATTGTCTGAAATAAAAAATATTATACAGAGTCCTAAAAACAGAATGGAAGATCACAAGAATCAAATCAAATATTTGGAACATAAAGAGTCAGAAGACACTCCTCCACAGAAACAAGAAGGCAAGAGAATCCAGAAAACTGAAGATAATGTAAGAAACCTCTGGGACAACTTCAAGCGAACCAACATCAGAATTATGGGGGTCCCAGAAGATGAGAGAGAGCAAGATATCGAAAACATACTGAAAGAAATAGTGACAGAAAACTTCCCCCACCTGGTGAAAGAATTAGACTTACAAGTCCAGGAAGCGCACAGAACTCCAAACAAAAGGAATCCAAAGAGGACCACACCAAGACACATCATAATTAAAATTCCTAGAGCAAAAGACAAAGAGAATATTAAAAGCAGCAAGAGCAAAGCAGGTAGTTACCTATAAAGGAGCACCTATACGACTGTCAGCTGATTTCTCAACAGAAACCATGCAGGCCAGACGGGAATGGCAAGAAATATTCAAGGTGATGAATAGTAAGAACATACAGCCAAAGATAGTCTATCCAGCAAAGCTATCACTCAGAATCGAAGGTCAGATAAAGAGCTTCACTAATAAAGAAAAGCTAAAGGAGTTCATAAACACCAAACCAGAATTATATGAATTGCTGAAGGGGGTTCTTTCAGAAGAGAAAATAAATAAAGATAAAAATTATGAACAACAAATACGTAACTATCAACAAGTGAATCTAAAAACCAAGGAAATCAAAAAAAAGATCTGATGAACAATATTAACTGTTGAATATAATAGAATCAGAGGTATGGAAGGGGAGTGAACTGATGATTCTTGGGGAAAAGGGGAGAGGGGGATGTGGGAAGAGACTGAACATAAACTGTGCATCTATGGATGAGGACAATGGGAAGTGGGGAAAGGGCAGAGGGTAGGGTGGGAACCTGGTGGAGGAGAGCAATGGTGGGGGGGGAGGAACATTTGTAATAATATGAACAATAAAAATTTATTAAAAAACAAACAAACAAACAAACAAAAACACAAAGCAGCAGACTATCATTAGGAATCCAAGCTAGAGTGGACAGTATCTTTGCTGAATTTAGAAAAGGAAACTGAATAATTATCACTATGTATATAATAAAGTTATATGTATACTCTGCAAAGATTACCTAGACAGTGAGTTTGTATGTAGGGTATGTGTGCATGTGAAAATTATATGAATACCGGTGTCCTTGTCAGAGAGGACAAACATGACCAGCTTACCAGGGATAAAAACAGAAAGTTAATAAAAAAAATTCACACATTTGTCTAAGTTTTAGAAATGTCTCTGTGTATATATAGTGCTCAGTTGACTTTTTATTAAGTAATTTTAAAATGAAATCAAAGCAGCTGAAAATGTGTATAATTTTAAAAACAGCAGGTAGTAAAATTGTGTTTGCTAATGATATTACAATGTTGAAGTTTGCAGTATAGTAATTTTAGAGATTATGATTGTAAACATGGTAAAAAAAAAAACAACTATCAATAATGAAGTCTTTGCTAGGGTTTACAACTGCCATATTTCAGTGGTAGAAGCTCACAAGAAACTAGGAAATAAATGCTGACTGCATTTGGGTTATAAGTTAATTTTGATGGGCCTGTAGGTCAAGTCTGAAGCTGGGAGGAATATAAAAACCCTAAGGGCTTTGTAAAGTATATTTTTATTCCATGGTACTGTGCCATGGGGTGCTCTGATGTGTCCATGAGGAGGACGATGATACATACACATACAGACCTACATAGAGATTGAGATTTTTAAACTGTATTCATTATGTTGGACACTATATAAGACATTTTCTGAGTGGGGATAGGGATGGTGGTCAAAACATAAACTTCCAGTGATAAGATAGATAAGATTATACTGGGGGGATATAATGAACAACATGACTAGTAATAATTAACACTGCTTTATGGTATATTTGAAGGTTTCTAAAAGAGTGGATGGATCTTAAATATTTTCATCATAAAGAAATAGGTATTTTGGGGGTGTTTATATGAGATGATGGATGTTAACTAAACTTAGTGTGGTAATCATTTCATAATATATGTAAGTCAAGTCATTATGCTATATATCTCAAACTTACACAGTGCTGTATGGCAATTATATCTCATAAAATGGAAAGAAAAAATAAAAATAAACTTCCTAATGATTGCACCTGTGGTTATCTTGCTTTTGGAAAGGTGAAATTCTAATCACATTGGCTATACATAGATTCAGATATTGAGGATAGTTTGGCTTAGAAATTATCCCTTTCAAAAAATGGTTAAAGATTACCTTGGACTTAGAAGTAAGCATATACCAAGCAGGCTTATTTTTAATTCTCAGACTGATCAGTCAAGGTGGGTACTTTACCATCATTGAATAGTTGAGGACACTGGGGCTTAGGCCGAGTAATGGACTCACCTGACTACAAAATTAAGACTGCATTTGAAGAGGTCTGCTGATTTAAAAACCCAATTCTTTTACTCTGGTGGCTCTTAACCAGGGGTGTGCATTTCAATTACCTGATCAATTTTTAAAATAACATTTAAATTAATTTTAAATCAAAGAAATAAAGAGAAATCAAATAATACTGTTGGACTGGTAGTAGAAAACTTATCTTCCACCTTTTCTCTTTCCATTCGATTTTTTTCCTTCAACCACTTTAAACTCTTGGCTGCCTCTAATTGCAGTTGTTTTTTTTTTTAAAAAATAACATGTTCAATATTGCTTTTTTTATTGACTGATTCTCCCCAATTACACACACCTCTCCTCTCCAACTCCTCCCCCCTCCAAATGTTACATAATCATGTTATGTCCATATTCAGTGCTAACATAATTATGACTGATTGTATGAGTAGTGTTATTCACAGTTGAGGTATGCAGTGTAGTTCCTGAACAAGTTTTTATTTTTCCTGGGTTCATAATTGCCTCAGCTTTGTTTTCTTATTAAAAAAAAAAAAAAAAAAAAAAAATCTGCAGACCACTAATTCATCTCCAGACTCCCCGAAACACTAAAAATCTCAACTCTATATTCAAACATACCAGACATTGTTTTTCTTTTGAGACATTCCACCCAACACTCCGTCTTTAAGCATTTATTGACTTATTGCTATTCTCTTCCACTCTCCTCCCTGTTTAAGTTACACTTCTATTTTAGCAACCTTATTCTCACAAAATGTCTTCTTTCCTCTTGAACAAGATTGTATCTCTCAACTCCCCACTTTACATAAGACACCACTGCCACCCCATGTACCTCCTCTCCTCCCTCCAATATCCCCCTGAAAACCGTACTTTTACATGATCACGGGTGACGACATCTGTAACCATAATTACGTATTCTCTGAAAAGAAAAAAAAGACGATAAACAGCATTTGCATAAATTATTATGATTATTTAAATGTGATTCATTAAATAGCCAAGCTGATTTCCTTTTCTTTGGCACCAGGGTCTCGGAACCATGCCACTCACAGGGAAACTGTCACATAGGGTCCACTTTCTTGCACTCCAGCCCTCTGTTCAACACCCTGCAGCCTTTTTCACTGTTTGATTATCAGAAGGATGCTTTTCCTGTACAGTTGATTTTTATTCTCACTGAAAACTTGATTGTCATTTTCTCTTGGGGGAATGAAGAAATACATGCCTCCTGCATCAAATCCTTAAGATCTTCAGGCTTCTTACTCATTCAATATCTTGCTTAGGAGTCCATCCAAAATTCCTGATATTTGTGATTTTTTTTTTTTCAGTCTTAGTTTGAACCATCAGCTTGTTGTAGTTTACATTTTTTCCCCCCCTGAAAAATGTAGTCGCCGTCTGTTTTGGATACAATGCACCCCGTTCGTCGTCCTAATTTTGCTTTCAGGATGCACAGCTTCTGCAATATCGTCGTCGTGGGCCTTCATGACATTCCTCCCTGTGGCTGGAAACCTCGTCGATCCTCTCCAGTCCCGGCGGGATTTCCGAGACCGGCCCGGAGCTCGGCGGCCGCTGAGAGCCGGGAGCGCAGCCGCGCAGGGCGTCCAGCCAACTCTCGCGAGACCCAGGGGCCCGCATCCGCCGCCGCCGCCCTACTCCGCTCCCGCCGCGGGGCCTCCTGGGAGCCCGCCATAGTGCCAGGCTACAGACCGTTAGCGTAGTAGCCGTGACTCTAAAAATGTACCTGCAGGCGGACGTTGAGGATCACGGAGCCCGCGACGTAGAAGTACGGGAAGTTGGAGCGCAGCTGCCAGGCCAGCTCGAAGAAGGCGAGCAGGGTGCGGGAGAGCCCCTTGCAGAACACCCCGTAGGAGCTGGGGGCCGCGGCCGGGCTCGGGACCCCGAGCGCCCAGGAAAACGGAGCCGCCACGGGGGCCATGGCCGTGGCCTCGGGGCCGCCGCTCGCCTAGTGCTTGGTGCCGAGGGAGGGTCGCGGAGGGTCACCGCAGGTTCCCGCGGGACCGGACCGATGGCCGGGACGGCGAAGGTGGGGGGCAGGCGCTAAGCTGTCGCCGTGTCCCCTCGGCGGTGCCGCCGCTGCCTCCGGTGCGGAGCTGCCAGTCAGCCGCTGGCGCCCCGCCCCTTCCTGTCCCCTGTTAGCTTTAGAGTTGAACACGTGGTAGGTACAGGGTTTAAAAAAAAAAAAAAAAAAAAAAAAAAAATATATATATATATATATATATATATATATACACACACACACACACACACACGTTATTTCATATCACACGCATGGACAGCCACAGAGATATAATTTTCACTTTAAGATGAAAGTAAGCTTAGAAGGGGAAATAACAAGGAATTAAGTATGTTAATATTTGGAGAGGTTTTTTTTTGTTTTGTTTTTTAAATCTGTTCCTATTTTTCCTTTGGAGTTTCTTGTATTCTAAAACATATCCCTGGAATCGAAATTTTCCTATATGCCTAGAAATAAGTACATATTTGTGATTACAATTTTACAATGTTATAATAAAGTCAATGCAGTTTTTAATTGCTCAAAGCCACCTGAAAAATACCACAAACTATTGTTCTTCAGGATTTGCCCATTACCTGTACTTGTCCCTTATTGTTAGTTACAGAAAACTTTGCTCCTAAATGAGGAAAACTTTAAAAGTCGGCTAATTTTTTTTTGGGGGGGGGGGGGCGGGCGGGGGGAGACTGAGGACCATTAAGCAAAATTTCTCAGCTGCAAATAATTGTTTTTAGAATCCAACAATATTAATTAACTTCCTTGCTTCCTTCTTCTTTGCTGTAGTCCTTCCTTTCCTTTCTTCCAGGAACTGTAATCCTCCAACTGTGTTCTTTTATAAAAAATACTTCTGGCTATTTTGGGCACTTTGCATAGTCATGTACATTTATGAATATTCACTCACTGCCCTTAGAGCCTGCTGGGATTTGATAGGGCATTGCACTGAAAATACAGATGAAATCTCTTTACCTGAAAAGACTCTCCTCTTTCCAGATCTTAGTTCAATTGGCCTTGCTCAGCTTTCAGATGAATTTAAATATAACTTTGGCAATTAATTCCCTTTATCTTGGTGTTTATTGGAGGAAATCTTGCTTTTTTACAGCTACATTGTACTCAAAAGCCTATACTCTCTGAGGTTAACTCTGAAGTATCAAGTAACATAGGCTCAAATGAATAACAATCCTTAGTGACTGATGTATTTATTAGGCACAATTGGAAGCACTCTGTATAAATACAGGTTGTCCCCCCAAATATGTATACCCACTTTAAACACTGTCTTTATAATCAAAGTGTGTGCATACATTTTTTGGGGGACGCCCTATAGTGTATTTATTACAAAGACCACCCAAAGCGGATATCATTGTTTTCTGACTTTCTACTGATGATTATACGAAGACAGTTTTGAAAGAGTCCAAGATCAGAGATATACAAAGCAGAGAATCTGTGTTTTCTGTTCTGTTCTGGCAGTCTGAGTCCAAGATCCTCTGCTAAGCACCATCATTACACAATAAAAATTGTAACTGAGTAAAACTCAAATGTAGAGGCTGGTTTTAACACCTATTAATCTTTTAAAAAGTAAGTCGTAAAAAAAGAATTAAACAGAAAAATAAAACCATATGTTTATATATAGGAGTCTGGAATCTGCAATGAAAAACAGATTCTTTTGAAGTACTTAATATTTACAAAATTTCTAAATATTTAAATTAAATATTAATATTTAAATATTAAATAGACTCAAAAAGGAAACTTTTATCAAAGACCTAAGCATGAAAGATATGTATGATAGCTGTTAATAATGGATTGGAAGTCCACTTGGGAGAAAATTCAAATTTAAACCTAAATGACCTCCTGACACTAATTTTGCATTTTGAAAAGTATAGAACATTCTATCCATTAGATGTACGTGTATTTGTCTGAGTTAGTGGGGATGTGTTTATGAGTTTGTCGACAATATAGTTATGCAATAGTATTAATTGTAAGCAACCAGCTTTTATAGTATTCCTGATTAAATCTAGGATGTTTTTGATAGGAAAAGCTTGAATTTTTTCCACATAATTCTATCAATAGCATTAAAAAAAATTCATAGTGAGGACTCCCTAGTTATAACCAACCTCTATCTAATACTGTAGACATTCACTGTATATTGGTTTTTAATTTTACTAATAAACAACTAATGTTGAACAGAAATTGTAGAAGGGTCAAACAAGGAAAAAATTGCAAAACAATATGTCTTATTTGCATCCTAGCAAATGAGAATTCAGCTTTCACTTCAACATCAGTTAAGAAATAATCCAGCCAGTGGCAGAGAGAGACACAGTTTAAATGGGAGTCCATGGAAAACAATATGTTCCATAAAGATAGCATTGAACTTTTCTATTAGCCTACCCTGAAGCTTTCCTTGGCATTGGTCACAGAATTGGAACCAGAAATTCACTGCAAATTCAGAAAACAACTGCACATTGAATTTAAGGTCAGAATATTAAAAGAATCACGACCAGTGATATTAGGCTTGGATTTCTTTTTCTTTTCAGAAATGGCTTTACTACGAACCATTCTTTCCAGCCTATTAACAATACAATGTGTTCTAGGATATTTTGCCAATGGCTTCATAGCACTGATGAACTGCATGGACTGGGTAAAGAGACAAAAGATGTCCTGCACTGATGGAATTCTCACTGGTCTGGCTGTCTCCAGAATTGGTTTGCTCTGTATATTAACATTAAATTGGTATGCATCTGTGTTTAATCTACCTTTCTATAGGTCAGAAGTAAGACTTATTATTCATATTATCTGGATAATAAGCCACCATTTTAGTGTGTGGTTTGGTACTAGCCTCAGCATATTTTATTTGCTCAAGATAGCCAATTTCTCCAGCCTTTTATTTCTTCACCTAAAATGGAGAGCTGAAAGAGTGGTTCTCATGATACTGGTGGGAACTTTAGCCTTCTTGGTTTGTCATCTTACACTGCTAAGCATAGATGAAAAAATGGAGATGAATGATTATGGAAGAAACAACACTTGGAAGACCCAGTTGAGGGACATTATGCAACTTTCAAATAATACTGTATTCATTCTTGCAAACATCGTACCCTTTACTATGTCCCTGACAGCTGTTCTGCTGTTGATCTTTTCCCTGTGGAAACATCTGAAGAAGATGCAGCTCAGTGGCAAAGGACCCCAAGATCCCAGCACCGAGGTCCACATAAGAGCCATGCAAACTGTGATCTCCTTTCTCTTGCTATTGGTCATTTTCATCTTTGCTCAAATCATCTCAGTTTGGAATTCAAGTACTCAGCAGAACAATTTACTTCATATGGTTTCCAAGGTTCTTGGAATCCTGTATCCAACAGGCCACTCATTTATCCTGATTTGGGGGAATAAGAAGCTAAGACAGGCCTTTCTGTCATTTCTGAGGGAGGTGAGGTGCTGGTTGAAAAAGGGAAATAAGGGGGCACCTTGTGCCTTCTGACAGAAAACAGACTGATGGAGTCCTTAACGTTTTGTGCTTCCTACTACATTTCTTAATGTGTATAGCATTGGGTAAGTTACACCTAGAAAAACTTGTACATATGTTTATCACAAAAATGTGTGTGTGCATGTTTATGAGATTACCATTTTTAATGTAAGCGATATAGTTTTACAAAATAGTGTGATAAATTCTTCAGAATCATGAAGTCATGTATTTCACATACATATTCTATGTTATCCTCTTGAAATTGAAGAATTTATGGTCTATATGCATATTTAAGGACTGACAACCCATCTTGGGAAATCATTGCTACTTTCCATTTTAGTTAGTACCACACATAGGTACCACGGTGAATGTAGACTTTGTCGTTTGAACCTCCAGTCCTTTGGATGGTAAGGATATTTCTAAATCACACAGTGAGAATAGAGGCTTGGCATAGATGTTATTCCATCATGAATTCTTCATGGTTAATAGAAAGCAATAGAACTGTTAGGAAAAGATGCACATAATGAAATTAAAGAGTAACAAACAATGTATTTTACATGTACCATAAACAGAACTAAAATTATTTAATACAACAGGTAAAGTTTAGTAACTAATCAAGTTCTACAATTGGGATGAAAAAGAAAAAACTAGCATGTTATTTTTAATGCTGTTATGGTTCACTATGCAGTTAAGAAACTCATTTCATACTGTGTTTGAATTTAGAAAGCCTTTTTAAAGTAAAAGAAAAGTCATTGAGTTTTCTCTTAAACTGTGTTTAAGCCTATGAATTGCAAATCATCTCCATTTCACTACTTAAAAATTCCTTTTAAATTTCAGATAAACATAACTAATCAAAATGAAAAGGCTTTCTTTATGAGCTTGGTGTTATGTATTTTATTCAGTTTCCCCATAGAAGATGATTTTTAGAAGAATAACACAAAAGATATGAATCGTAAGGCTTGGTAATCCTAAGAGACCACATAAGGGAGTTTTTTTCCCCCACTCAGTAGCCAAGATCAATTACCCCAGCCAGCACAGTATCTCCCTTCTGTACCTATTGATAGCGGCTTAAGGAATCCAATGTGGCTGGATAACAGTCTTAAGTTCCAGTTTGATCAAATTGTTGCTATGTCTGTGGGTAGAAGTGTTCTTTCATTTGTCCAGTAACTTCCAGGCCAGCAAACAAAGTAGTAGGAAGAGGAAACAGAAATTTTGCAATGGGGTAACATTTCCATCCCTTCATTCCTGTACTTGTGAATCCTGGTTCCTGGAGAGACTGTACTATTTATTGCATGCTGATTCCAAGCATATGTAACCTGGAGAACCTTGGTCCAGCTCCGTAAGATATTGCCACTTAATTGGTACTATTACCGAGTCTTCAAAAAACCATTATACCATTCTGTTAAGATAGCTGCTTCAGGATGGTGGGGAACATGTTTAAGATAATTTCATAAGAGTGGGCCATTTGCCACACCTATTTTTCTATGAAGTTGGGTCCCTGATCAGAAGCAATGTTGTATACAGTACCTTGATGGTGGATAAGGCATTGTCTAAGTGCAGGCATGTAGTTTCTGCAGAAGCATTCAGGGAAAGCAAATCCATATTCAGAGCAGGCATCTTTTCCAGTTAAAACAATACATCTCCACTATGAAGGAAATCCACGAGATAACTGGGTGGTCACCCCTGAGAATGGCGCCATGTTTGAGACTCAGTGTTGATGTCTGCTATTGGCACATTGGGCATTCAGCAGTGACCACTTTTTCCTACTGCTGTGGTTATGCTGTTTGTGAGACCATTGGGTGATACAAGAGGTGGTTGAGAAAAGACTGTTATCCACAGACCCCATCATCTTATCTTTTTTATTAAAATTTGTGTCGAAACCACCTTTTGGGAATATTCATATGGGACACAAATACCTTCACAATTTTTGCCCATTAAGAGAAGTCTGTACATGTACCTCTTTCTCAACTGCCTTATTACTAATTTCCCAATCATCTTCCTTCCAAGCCACTGACTATCTGGCCAAACCATTGGCCACAGTCGGTGTGTCAGTATGTAATTTCAGCTTTACCCGTTTCTCCTCCAAAACAAAGTGAACACCCAGGTACAATGGTCAGAATTCTGTCACTAGGAGGATTTCCCTTCACTGCTGTCATTTGAGGATGTCCCAGAAAGGGACTGCCATGCTGCAGCTGTCCACTTAGGGATGACACCTGCATGTTGTGCAGAATCATCTCTAAACCAGGCCCAAGTCTCTTCCTGTGTCAACTGATTGTAGGAACTGTCCATGAGGCCAGCGGTGCAGGCTGGGAAAGAAAGAGCAGTGTAGCAGGAGAGGGGACCATGGGCATTTGGGCAACTTCAAGTAACTTCCTACTGCCATCAGGGCCTGCTTGGGCACGATCTTTTATATTCCACTTCCATTCACTGATGCATATGTGCAACTCCATGACTCCATTGGTCGAAAAAAACGCAAGTCATAAAGTGCAGGGCAGGTCTCATGGTAACTTGGTGGCCCATAGCCAAGTGTTTTATTTCTATGAAGGTCCAGTAGCAGGCTCAGAGTTGTCTCTAGCTCCACAGGATGGCAAGACTGCTCCCAACATCCTAAGGACCTGCACTGTGATTCACCCATAGAGGCCTGTCAGGCTGAAAACAGCATCCCTATCTGTCACTGACACTTCATATAACAAAGTATAGAATCTATTTTATTACAATATATTCTATAGGTAGGCAAGCTTTAATACACAAAAGGAGGTCAAAGATTTTGTTATGGAATACACTCATATGGAGAGCTGGCTGCTTTGATTGTATCACTTCAGTTTCAGCACAGAAGAAATACAGATAGCAAAAATTTACCAGTGCAGATCTGGAAGCACCACGATCCAGAAGTATATTCTTACACAGAAAAATCACCAAACTTACTAAGCAAACCAAATTCTGGGGCATTTCTCACCAGATGGAGAAGAGATTTTTCTCTACCAAATAGAGTAAAATCAAATTCTCTATTATTGCCACTGTATTCACTTGCTATTGCTCTGTAATAGATTACGACGAATGTAGTGGCTAAACCACATAAAAAATGGCCTGATGGAAGAGAGCAGATTTTAGTTTAAAAGCTCTCCATGATATACACTGAGTAGACAGATTACTATGATCTCAAAAGCATAATAATCTGGCCACTCAGTGTATATCCTTTATAACAAAAGGCTAATATGCAAGTTGTCCTTTTGACCAGGAGTTTGACCAGCCAGCAGGCTAGCCAACTGCCCATGTCCCCTCCTCCTGGCCAGACTGGCCGAAACCCACCATGCATGAAATTCATACACTAGGACTCTAATAAATAAATAAATTTAAAAACACACACACACACACACACACACACACACACACACACGAGTCTCGGTGCATGAAATTCATGCATGGAGGATGGTTGACCCTCAGCCCACACCCTCTCCAATCTGGAACCCCTTGAGGGATGTCTGATTGCCCGTTTAGGCCCAATCACACTAAAAGGGCAGTAGGACATCCCTCTCATAGTCCAGGACTACTTGCTTCCAACTCGCCTGCTTGCCTTACTGATTGCACCTAACCGCTTCTGCTGGCAGCCTGATTACCCCCTAACCACTCCCCTAACAGCCTGATTGATGTCTAACTGCTCCCATGCCAGACTGTTTGCCCCTAACTGCCCTCCCCTGCAGGCCTGGTCACCCCTAACTGCCCACCCTGCAAGCTTGGTTCCCAACTGCTCTCCCCTGCAGGCCTGGATCCCCCACAAAGCTGCCCTTCCCTGCAGGGTAAGTTGCCCTAAACTTCCCTCCTCTACTAGCCTGGTAACCCCTAACTGCTCTCTCCTGCAGGCTTAATTACCCCAAACTGACCTCCCTTGAAGGCCTGGTCCCTCCCAACTGCCCTCCCTTGCTGGCCTGATCACCCACAAATTCCATTCCTTGTAGACCTGATCCCTCCCAAATGCCCTGCCATGCTGGCCATCTTGTGATAGCCATCTTGTGTCCACATGGGGGCAGTCATCTTTGACCTCTTGGAGGCAGCCATCTTATATGTTGGAGTAATGGTCAATTTGCATATTATTCTTTTATTAGATAGGACAGAGGCCTGGTGCACAAGTGGGGCCGACTGATTTGCCCTGAAGGGTGTCCTGGATCAGGGTGGGGGTTACCTTGGGGCATGGGGTAGCCTGAGCGAGGGGCCTGTGGTGGTTTTCAGCTGGCCATGGCCCCCAGAGACCCAAGTGGTGGCCCTGGTATCTGGTATTTATTCATCTTCTATAATTGAAACTTTGTAGCTTTTAGCTATGCCAAGCTTCCTATTGGCTCTGTGGGTGCAGCCATTTTTGTTGGCATTTATTTATCTTTTATAATTGAAAATTTGTAGCCTGAAGCAGAGGGCAAGGCAGGCCAGGGCAGGCAGAAACCTTGGCTTCCTCCATTGTTGGGGAAACTCAAGGCTCTTGCTCTCTCTCTGGCTGCAACCATCTTGGTTGGGAGAATTTGCATACTTGCTTCTGTTTGGCTGATGGGAGTGGCTTGTGGGTGTAATGGAAGTGCAGTCAATTGCATATTACTATTTTCTTAAATAGGACACACACACACACATACAATCTGAGTGGCCATATTATTATGTGTTCAGAGATCATCATAATCTCAACACTCAGTGTATATGTTCCATTTTGGAAGTTACAGGACGATCATTTGTATCTTACTGTTCATCAGACTTTTTCATAAGAAAAAATGAAATGTATAGGTGGTGTGTGTATATTTATAAGCTTGTAAATAATGAAGCAATTTATGAATATTAGTTATCTGCATCCAATTTTAGGATTAGCCTTCCTAATGGTCCTAGGGAAACTGGAACGTTTTTGAAAGGAAACACTTAGAAAACCAGTAGATACATTCCTTTAAGTCTTTCTGTGTGGATCCAATGTTTTTGTTAAGATAAATCATCAGCAATAATGAGCCATTATGGTCATCACTAGATGATGAAGATCCAATGATCAATTTAGACATTGTCTAAATATCCTATGTATTTGATTTTAAAATTTGACTAGCTTACATCTTAACTTGATTAATTCAAATGATGTAAAGTTGAGAAAGGCAAAACATTGCCAAATGGTGAAAGGGAATTTGCCTCTATTTGCGTGTTAACAAGTGAGAATTCAGCCCTCATTTCAACTTCGGCTATGAAATCTTCCAGCCTATAGCAAGTTCCTCTCTGTCAGAACAGGAATTCATTTAAATCACTGGAACAATGTCTTCAGTGAACTAAGCTTTAAACCCAGACCTTAGCATACCTTGGTAATTTTCTGCTTGACATTGATTTCAGAGTTTAAAAGGAAATGAGAACTTCACTGGACATTTACTAATCAGGTGCAGGTCGAACTTTGGGATATAAAGGAATCATGAGCAGTAATATTACGTTTGGCACTATTTTTTCCAGGCTTGACTTTCCCCCCCAAGACATGATAAGCTTACTACAAAAAATATTTTCCATGCTAATGATGATAGAATTTGTTCTAGGAAATGTTGCCAATGGATTCATAGCGCTGGTGAACTGCCTTGACTGGGTCAAGAAACACAAGATGTCCTGTGCTGATCAAATTCTCACTGCTCTGGCTGTCTCCAGAATTGGTTTGCTCTGGACAATAGTATTAAATTGGTATGGAACTGTGTTTAATCTACCTTTATATAGTTCTGACATAAGTCTTGTGGTTTATATTGCCTGGATAGTAAACCATCATTTTTGTGTCTGGCTTGCTACTAGCCTCAGCATACTTTATTTGCTCAAGATAGCCAATTTCTCCTCTCTTCTATTTCTTCAACTAAAATGGAGAGCTGAAAGAGTGGTTCTCATGATACTGTGGGGGAATTTGTTCATCTTGGTTTGTCATCTTACACTGCTAAGCATAAATCAAAAAATGGAGATGCATGATTATGGAAGAAACATCACTTGGAAGACGCACTTGATGGAGGTTATGCACCTTTTAAATAGTACTGTATTCACGCTTACAAACATCATACCCTTTACTATGTCCCTGACAGCTGTTCTGCTGTTAACATTTTCTATGTGGAAACATCTCAAGAGGATGCAGCTCAATGGCAAAGGAACTCAAGATCTCAGCACCAAGGTCCACGTAAGAGCCATGCAAACTGTGATCTCCTTTCTGTTGCTATTTGTCATTTATTTCCTTGCTCAAATCATCACAATTTGGTCGTCTGAAGTTTTGCAGAATAATTTCCTTCTCATGCTATGTGAGGTTCTTGGAATCCTGCATCCTTCAGCCCACTCATTGATTCTGATTTGGGGGAACAAAAAGTTAAGACAGGCCTTTCTGTTATTTCTGTGGAAGCTGAGATGCTGGCTGAAGGAAAAGAAATAAGGGAGGGGAGGGCACCTTGCGTTTTCTGGCAGAAAACAAAGTGATGGAGTCTATGACGTTTTGTACTCCCTACTATATTTTGTAATGTTTGTAGAATTGGGTAAGGTATACCTAGAAAAACTTTTACCAAAGCTTATTACTAAAGTTCATATGCGATACTTATCTTTCTCTGACTGACTTATTTTGCTTAGCATAATGCTCTCTAGGCTCATCCAAGCTATTGCAAGAGGTAGGAATTCCTTTCTTTTTACAGCAGTGTGCTTTTCCATTGTGTAGATGTATCACAGTTTTTTAATCCTCTCATCTGCTGATGGGCACTTAGACTGTTTCCAAATCTTAGCTATGGTGAATTGTGCTGCTATAAACATAGGGGTGCATATGTCCTTTCTGATTGGTGTTTCTGATTTCTTGGAATATATTCCTAGAGTGGGATCACTGGGTCAGATGGAAGTTCCATTTTTAGTTTTTTGAGGACACTCCATACTGTTCTTCACAGTGGTGCATCAGTCTGCATTCCCACCAGCAGTGCATGAGGGTTCATTTTTCTCCACATCACATGATCTCACTCATTTGTGGAATATAATGAACAACATAAACTGATTAACAAAATCAGATCCAAAGGCATTGATCAGACTGTCAAACCTCAGAGGGAAGGTAGGGGAGGGTGGCAGTAAGGAGAAAAAATCAACCAAGGGACTTGTATGCATGCATATAAGCCTAGCCAATGGACCCAGACAATAGGGGGGAGAGGACCTGAGCGGGGGTAGAGGTGTGTGTGTGTGGGAGATAACGAGAAATAATAACACATATGTTATACCCTAATCAATAAAGAAATTATTTAATTATTTGTATTTTCCAAGTCATTAAAATATTATTCTAAAATAAAAAAATGCATACGTGTGCATATTTATACAAAACACAAGAAAGATGATTAGATTGCCATATTATCGTTTTCAAGCAGTATAATTTTAAAAATGGTGTAAAAAATTCTTCAGGATTATGAAGACATGAGTATCTCACATACATATTCTATTGTATGATCTTGCAAGTGAATAATTTATTATCTATATTACTGTTTTTAAGGACTGACAACTCATTACAGGAAATCATTGTTTTTCTTCATTATACTTAGTTCCACAGGATATTCTACTCTTCATCACACATTGAGGATGGATGCTTGGTATAGATATTATTCCATCATGAATTCTTACTTCATGGGTAAGGGATAGTAATAAGAATTATTAGGAAAAACATGCATGTAATGAAAATAAAGAATAACATAGTTTACATACATGTATAATAAATATGATTGTTAGATTTAATACTAATGATTGTTAGATTTAATACAATAGTTGAAAGCTTAGACAATAAACAAGTTCTACAATAGAGATAAAGAAGAAAGCAAAATGATCATGAGGTTTTAAAGTGGTTATGGTTCCCCATGCAGTTAGGAAAGTCATTTCTCACTGTGTTTGAATTGAGAAGACCTTTTTAAAAGTAAAAGACTGATGTTAGTCTATTTAGTTTAACCCTAAACCATGTTTGTGCCTCTGAATTTCCAATCATCTGCTCCACCTTGCTACCTAAACATTTCTTTTATAAAGTTTAGACAAAAATAACATAAAAATAAAAAAGGCTTTCTTTAAAAACTTGGTCTTATGTATTCTATTCAGATTCATGATAGAAGATGATTTATAGAAGAAAAATACAAAAGATTGTTTCTAGTATTAATCTAAGGAGCGGGGTTCCCCTTAGGAGACAAGCTGAATTACCCCGGCAGGCACAGTAGCTCTCTTCCTTCCTGTTGATTGAGAGGTCTCGGAGTACAAAACGGATAGAGGGCAGTCTTCTTTCCATTTTGATAAAATCACTGTTGTATCTCCTGGTAGAATAGTTTCTCACTTTATACAATGACTTCCAGGCCAGAACATAAGGTCATAGGAAGAGGAAACAGAAATTTTGCTACTGGTTTTCTAGGGGCAATAGTGTTGACCCTTGCATTTGCATCCCTCGATTCCTGCACTTGTGAATCCTGGTTCCTGGAGAGTCAGAACTATTTATTGCATGCTGATTCCAAGCATATGTAACCTGGAGAACCTTGGTCAAGCTCCGTAAGATATTGCCACTTAATTGGTACTATTAACGAGTCTTCAAAAAGCCATTATACCATTTTGTTAAGCTAGCTGCTTCAGGATGGTGGGAAACATGTTTACGATGAGTAATTTCATAAGTGTGAGTTCTGTGCCACATCTTTCTTGCTGTGAAGTTTGGTCCTTGATCAGAAGCTATGTTGTATATACAGTGCCTTCATGGTGGATAAGGCATTGGTTAAATGCAAGCATGGTAGTTTTGGCAGAAACATTGCACTCAGGAAAAGCAAATCCATATCCAGAGCAGGCATCTCTTCCAGTAAGAACAATACATCTCTTCCATTGTGAAAGAAGTCCACCAGGTACCTGGATGATCACCTCTGAGAATGACGCCATGTTTAAGACTCAGTGTTGGTGTTTCCTATTGGCACATTGGGTATTCAGCAGTAAACACTCTGTTTCTACTACTGTGGTTATGTTGTACATGAGTCCATTGGGTGATACAAGAGTTGGCTGAGAAAAGATTGTTATCCACAGAGTCCATCATCTTATCTACTTGTTTATTAAAATTTGTGTAGACACCACCCTTTGGGAACATTCATATGAGACATAAACCTTCACAATTTTTGCCCATTCAGAGAAGTCTGTTCATGTACCTGTTGCTCAAATTTCTTTATCCCTAATTTACCAATCATGTTCCTTCCAAGCTGCTGACCATCTGGCCAAACCATTGACCACAGTCGGTGTGACAGTATGTAATTAACGCTCTACCCATTTCTCCTCCAAAACTAAGTGAACACCCAAGTACAATGGTCAGAATTCTGTCACTAGGAGGATTTCCTTCACCACTGTCATTTGAAGATGTCCCAGAAAGGGACTGCAATGTCCAGCTGTCCACTTAGGGATGGCACCTGCATGCCTTTTTTCCTATGTCAACTGATCGTAGGAATTCTCCATGAGGTGCAGGCTGGAAAAGAAAGGGCAGTGTAGCAAGAATGGTGACCTTGGGCATTTGCGTCACTTCTTCCTATAACTTACTGGTGCCTTCAGGGCCTGCTTGGGCATGATCTTTTATATTCCACTTCCAATCGCTGATGCATATGTATAACTCCATGAACGCATTGGTCGGAAAACACACAAGTCATAAAGAGCAGGGCAGGTCCCATGGTAACTTGGTGGCCCATGGCCAAGTATTTTATTTCTATGAAGGTCCAGTAGCAGGCTCAGAGCTGTCTCTAGCTCCACAGGATGGCAAGACTGCTCCAACATCCCAAGGACCTGTACTGTGATTCACCCATAGAGGCCTGTCAGGCTGAAAACAGCATCCCTATCTGTCACTGACACTTCATATAACAGAGTATAGAATCTATTTTATTATATTCTATAGGTAGGCAAGCTTTAATAAACAAAAGGAGGTGAAAGATTTCGTTATGGAATACAGACATAGGGAGAGCTGGCTGCTTTGATTGTATCACTTCAGTTTCAGCACAGAAGAAATACAGATAGCAAAAATTTACCAGGGCAGATCTGGAAGCAGCACAATCCTTTGCAGAAGAAGCATATTCTTACACAGTTGAATCAACAAACATAAGACTAGCAAACCAAATTCTGGTGCATTTCTCACCAGATGGAGAAGAGATTTTTCTCTACCAAATAGAGTAAAATCAAATTCTCTATTATTGCCACTGTATTCATTTGCTATTGCTCTGTAATAGATTACGACGAATGTAGTGGCTAAACCACATAAAAAATGGCCTGATGGAAGAGAGGCAGATTTTAGTCTAAAAGCTCTCCATGATATACACTGAATAGACAGATTACTATGATCTCTGAACTCATAATAATCTGGCCATTCAGTGTATATCCTTTATAATAAAAGGCTAATATGCAAGTTGTCCTTTTGACCAGGAATTTGACCAGCCAGCAGGCCAGCCAACTGCCCATGTCCCCTCCTCCTGGACAGACTGGCTGGAACTCACCCATGCACAAATTCTAGTATACATATACTAGAGTCCCAGTGCATGAAATTCATGCATGGTAGATGGGTGACCCTGAGCCCAGCCTTTACCTTTTCCTATCTGGGAATCCTTGAGGGATGTCTGACTTCCAGTTTAGGCCTGATCCCACTAAATGGGTAGTCAGACATCCCTCTCACTATCTAGGTCTGCTGGCTCCCAACTGCTCACCTGCCTACCTTCTTGATTGCCCATAACCGCTTCTGCCTGCCAGTCTTATCACCCCTACCCACTCCCCTGTCAGCCTGATTGATGCTTAACTGCTCCCCTGCCAGTCTGTTTGCTCCTAACTGCCCTCCCATGCAGGCCTGTTCACCCCTAACTTCCCTCTCTTTCACGTTTGGTCCCCCTAACTGCTCTCCCCTGCAGGCCTGGGTCCCCTCAAGCTGCCCTTCCCTGAAGGCCCACTTGCCCCCAACTTCCCTCCTATGCCAAACTGGTCACCCCTAACTGCTCTCCCCTGTAGGCTTGATCATCCCAAACTGCCCTCCCTTGAAGGCTTGGTCCTTCCCAACTGCCCTCCCTTGCTGGCCTGGTCACCCACAAATTCCCTTCCTTGCAGACCTGATCCCTCAGAAATGCCCTCCCCCGCTGGCCATCTTGTGACAACCATCTTGTGTCCACATGGGGAAAGTCATCTTTGACCTCATGGGGGCAGCCATCTTGTATGTTGGAGTGATGGTCAATTTGCATATTATTCTTTTATTAGTTAGGATTAGATAAGATAGAAGCCTGGTGCACAGGTGGGGGCTGACTGGTTTGCCCTGAAAAGTGTCCTGGATCATGGTGGGGCAGCTTGAACGAGGGGTGTGGGGTGGCCTGAGTAAAGGGTCCATGGTTGTTTTCAGCTGACCATGCCCCCCAGTGACCCAAGCAGTGGCCCTGGTATCTGGTATTTATTTATCTTCTATAATTG